TGTGTGTGTGTGTGTGTGTGTGTGTGTGTGTGTGTGTGTGTGTGTGTGTGTGTGTGTGTGTGTGTGTGTGTGTGTGTGTGTGTGTGTGTGTGTGTGTGTGTGTGTGTGTGTGTGTGTGTGTGTGTGTGTGTGTGTGTGTGTGTGTGTGTGTGTGTGTGTGTGTGTGTGTGTGTGTGTGTGTGTGTGTGTGTGTGTGTGTGTGTGTGTGTGTGTGTGTGTGTGTGTGTGTGTGTGTGTGTGTGTGTGTGTGTGTGTGTGTGTGTGTGTGTGTGTGTGTGTGTGTGTGTGTGTGTGTGTGTGTGTGTGTGTGTGTGTGTGTGTGTGTGTGTGTGTGTGTGTGTGTGTGTGTGTGTGTGTGTGTGTGTGTGTGTGTGTGTGTGTGTGTGTGTGTGTGTGTGTGTTTGTGTGTGTGTGTGTGTGAAATATATAAGATAATTTATTCTGTAGTCTAGATTTGAGTTTCAAATTTAAAAGTCAAATAAATAATTATTCTTAACTTACGGGTCAATATTAACTTGATTGTAAATGAAATAATAACCATTTATAGTTTAATATTCAAACACTTAAATTGTTTGATTTGGATAGTTTATATGAAAATAAATTCATTTTAATCAATAAGACTACATAAATTTTATAATAGTACTTATTATTCACATAGATTTTTAAATATATGATGAAATTTTATCAAAATATTTATTTTATGTAATCACGTTGTAGTCCAATCGAATTTCTTAATAAAAAATTTAAAATGACACTTATTTTGAAATGAATATAATGTAATTTATTGTGTATAAATTTTAAGTAGACATTTTTATGTAATTTTACACAATTTAATTTTCATATAACATTTTCAATAAATTAATATATGTATATTATATTACATATTAATTTCATATTTTTAAATGATAAATATCTTAATTTATAAATATTCATGAATATCTCTTACCCGCGCATCGCACGGGATTCCTACTAATATCTTATGTATATAATGATTATATCTTATGTATGTAATTCCAAAAAAAAAAATAAGAATAGCTAGATTGGTTTACATTCAGTATAATTTTTGTATATAATGAGTTTAAGTTCTCTTTTTGTTTGATGAGGGAAATGCTCACATGCCCACAGTGGACACATGTTAATATGTCCATCGTTGATATGACATGCACACATTGGTGATGTTAATATGTTAAACACAACAGGGATCCCCTCTTTTGTGAATTACCGTAGAAGTTTTCTTTTTTTAATTCAAGATTTGATTTTACGGTTATTTCCAGATAAATCCCTAATGCACATTACATCTTCCTTGTCAGTCCCCAGCACTTTATTTCTTCCTCTTAACTCCTTAATACTAATTTATCTTTCCTCCCAATTCCCCATATAAATACTATTTGTATTATTATTGATTTATTTTTACTGATTAATTCATTTGAACAATTTCTCACTCTCTCTCTTCATTATCTCTCTCTCTCTCTCGCGCCTATTCCCGTCTCTCTCTCTCTGAAAAATTGCCGTGAAATTTCTCACTCTCTTATGCATCGCCTATCATCTCTCATTCTCTGTCTTGGTGCATCGCTCGTCGGTGAAGAAGATTCCCCCTCCCGTCGCCATATCTCCGGGAAGCCCTCCGTCTCCGACCAAAATGCCGCGATCGAAAAAGCCAATCGTCTCCGGGAAGCCCTTGGTATCGGAAAAACCATCTTCCTCTTCCAAAGCTTCCAAAGCTTCCAAAGCCGTAAGCAATGTTGATTTTTGGGGATTTTATTGAA